GGGGGGGGTGGAATGGGTAGTGGGTAATGTTGTTTGATGTTTCTGATCCATAAATTGTGTGAGATGGTGTGAGTGTGTGTGTGTATGTGTGTGTATGTGTATGTGTGTGTAGGAATGTGTGTGTATGAATGCCTGTGTACATATGTGGGTTTAGTGTATGTGTGAATGTGCGACACATTTCCAAAAAAACCAAAACCAAGAACAGACAGATATAGAAATTCATTCGTACTAACTGCTGTGAGGTTACTGTACCCACAGTGTTATTAATGAAACAAAGAAGGAGAGAGAGAGAGAGAGAGAGAGAGATTATTTTACATAGTGAGTTGTTTCAGCACGACATGATATATATATTTACTAAGTGTGTAATATCCTGTCTTGTTGTGCATGTGCGTGAGGGCACCTAACCTTTGTAACGTCTACTGCCATTGTCGACCAAGACAAATTTCTCCCTGCGAGATGAATAAAGATTGTCATTGTCATTGTCATAGTCATTGTCAGTGTCGGAGAGATTTTGAGCTAGATCTTGGAATAACTTGATGACTCGGGAATGAGACAAATTGTTGTCAACTCATAAGAGATGTTTTTTGGAGGCATTGGACTTTAGAATTGGTGTCTTGTTTCATCGATGGCATGCTTGAAAACATAAATCCTTGTCCTTTTAGGATATTTTCTTCCTCCATTTGGGGTACTCTCAATTTCAAAACTTGGACACCGGGTTTGTGGTGTAGGGGTTAGCCGCTCTTCTGTCACTTAAAAATCTTTTATTTTGATGCTCGTATGGGGAGATTTAAATTTTGTTATCGAGTATCTCTCGTCTGTTGGTTGAGATATTGTATCTCTCTCAGGGATGATAAAACTTTTACAACTTCAATTACTACCCTTGAGTAAGGGACATCTCTTCAGGATGTCCCCACTTCTAACGCATAGTTCTTGCAATCCTTCTTGTCTTTATATAATACCAACATCTGTGGAGTAGCAGTTAGGCTTTTTCCATTGCTCATGGAATACCTGAGTTTGCGTCCTGAGTGTGGATAATTTTCTTAATCATGCATCCCTGTTTGTCTGCTAGGATGCTCTACCTCTATTAACCCTAGTAACCCCTACGGACACGACGGAAGCTGCTCACTCCCTAAATGAACTAAATGTGATGCATTGTGGTGAAATCGGGGGATTGTCAAAATAATGAGAAGAAAACGGCATTTTCCCGCCAGTTTGTCAATTTTAAT